ACTGTATATTTTATTGCTCGATATCTTTTTCATTGTTGTTCGGCGTTATTATATTATTGTATAATAAGGCATTGGTAGGTATGTGGTTCATCAATGAGCTTGACATAGTTGACTCGTGGGTTACCGTCTGCACCATTCCTTGGTTTCTACTTGTATTTACAAGTTCTTTTTGAATGTTTGGCTTGCTTCTGACAAACTTTCGATCTCGAAGGTTCCATCCACCTTCACGAAGTTTAACTGTGCCACCTGCTTTGTGATATGATACTTTGAGAGCTTTCAATATGCGAGCTTTATTAATATATTAAAGCACAAAAAAAAACATATACCGTAAATTCCCGAAATAGCGGGCATGGGCGTTATCTTGAATTTTGAGCTTAATTCGAGCCAAAATTCAAAATAACGCCCATGCCCGCTATTTCGAGAATTTACGGTAATAAATTCGAGCTTATAAATTAATTGAGAATATAATATGCGTCATTATTCCCTAAATTATAAATGCCTGGAATTACAGCCATTTTTTCTTCGACGCTCATTCCAAATTTCTTTAGTTTAAAATCTTTTCGAATTTGACTTGAGGACGCAATGCAGTATGCTCAATCTTATGTCTTCTTTGAGCTCTAGATAGCTTTGCAACAGAAATTGTCGACCCTAATATTTTTTTTTTTTTTAAAAAAAAAATATATATATTAAATCGAAAATAACTATACCCTAATAATTTTTTTTAAAAAAAAATAAATATTAAATCGAAAATAACTATACCCTAATAATTTTTTTTTTTTTAAAAAAAAAAATATTAAATCGAAAGTAACTATAATTTGATTTAAAAATAATACCTCAATAATATCGCATAATTCAATTGGAATTGTAGCATTATTCCGATCTCCAAGTTCGACTAGATGTAAATATTTTAAATTAATACTATATCTTCACTGGCATAAGAATTAACACTAATTTTTCTTACAGAATAAGTATAAATACTTTATTGCTCTATTGATTTGATTTTCGTGTATTATTTCCGTTTCAGAAGATCCCAAAATATATTCGTTTCTATTATCGCGATAAAAAAAAAGAAAAATGTCAGAAAGTACAATAACAAAGAAGACATCTCCGTTACATAATACCATGTTACAAAAAATCTTTTACCATCGTAAAGAAAACCATAACTGATTCCTTATTCAGATTCAGTAGACCTTACAGATATAAGGGCTCCCAAGAGGTACTTACATGTACATAAGTGTCACCAAGTGTAAAAACCGACGATAGATTTTTCCTTGATAGCACTTATACACACGTAAATCCTTCTCAACAGACCTTACGCGACATAAAGGTTCATAGAAAGGCCTATGCAACATACAACCTAACCACAAAACATTATGTCACAAATAAATGAATTTTTGTTTCCCTGTAAGTAAAAAATTACTTACTTTAATATTTTTACTCTAAGTTTGAAGCTTCATGCTCGAACGAATTTTAAGGTCTTTCGCTTGGGCTTGATAAAATACATGTAATTTTAAAACCGTTAATTTAAAAAAAGTGTAACCGTTGAATATATCAATTTTTTTTTTAAAAAAAAATTTCAAGCCTAAATAATCAATACATAATATTAATAACAAGTAAAATAGCAAATTAAGTAAATTAAAGATTTTGTGATAATTCATACTTGAAGGACCACCGTGTCTGCCGGTTTGGGCGCACATCGGTACCAGGCAACAATATCGAATCTTGTGCGAAGAGGAATTTTGGCATCTTCAAGAGATTGATCCGTTCCTCCCAGCTTTAAATTTATTCTTATTGTTTATTTGTTTTTTCTACTTATCAATTTTTCATCGTCATCCAGAAGAATAAAGGCATCAATTGAAAATTATTCTTTAGGTGATCTTTAGCGTTATTATATTCTTGTATAATAAGGTGTTGATAGGTATGTGGTTTACCATTGAGCTTGCATAGTTGACTCGTGGGTTACCTTCTACAACAATTCCTTGATTTCTACTTGTATTTACAAGTTCTTTTTGAATTGTTTGGTTTGCGAAATTGATACCTCTATTGTTGAACAAATGCAACCACCATTCAACATTAAAGTGTTTTACCGCTTCTGACAAACTTTCGATCTCGAAGGTTCCATCACCTTCACGAAGTTTAACTGTGCCACCTGCTTTGGATGTTATGTGATATGACACCTTGAGAGCTTTCAATACACGAGCTTTATTATTAATTTATTAAAGCACAAAAAAAGGCATATAATAAATTAGAACTAACTTATAAATGTAATTGAAAATACAATATGCGTCATTATTCTCTAACTATAAATGCCTGGAATTACTGCCATTTTTTCTTCGACGCTTATTCCAAACTCTTTAATTTAAATTTTTTTTCGAATTGTAGGACAGTCTGAACGCTTTCAATAATTCTATCCATGTTAGGACGCAATGCAGTATGCTTAATTGTATGTCTTCTTTGAGCACTAGATAACTTTGCAACAGAACTCGTTGACCCTAATTTTTTTTTTAAAAAAAAGAATAAATAAATATTAATCAAAAATAATTATAATTTGATTTAAAAACAATACCTCAATAATATCCCATAATTCAATTGGAATTTTGTCATTCTTCCGACCTTCAAGCTCGATGAGAAGTAAATATTTTAAATTTATATTATATTTTCGCTAGTATAATAATAAACGCCAATTTTTCTTAAGAATAAGTATAAAATACTTTATTGTTCTATTGAATTGATTTCCGTTACAGAAGATCCCAAAATATATTCGTTTCTATTATCGCGATAAAAAAAAAAAGAAAAATGTCAGAAAGTACAATAACAAAAAAGACATCTCCGTTACATAATACCATGTTACAAAAAATCTTTTACCATCGTAAAGAAAACCATAACTGATTCCTTAT